CACCCATTCAACATCAACAAGCACCTCCAGTAGCACTTCAACAACTTCCTCAACGACATCGACGATGATAACCTCCAGCACAACGTCCTGGACTACGAGTAGTTCGATCTCAACCAGCACTTCCAGCAGGACTTTAACAAGCACCTCCAGTAGCCATTTCACAACTTCCTCAACGACATCCACTACCACAAGCTCCAGCACTACGTCCTCAACTGCCAGCAGTTCAACATCAACTAGCACCTCCAGTAGCACGTCAACAAGTTCCTCAATTACGTCCACAACGACAAGCTCCAGCACTACGGCGTCAACTACCCTTAGTTCAACATCAACAAGCACCTCCAGTAGCACTTCAACAAGTTCCTCAGCTACATCCACCGCAACAAGTTCAACATCAACAAGCACGTCAAGTAGCACTGCGACAAGTTCCTCAACAGCATCCACTACCATAAGCGTCAGCACTACGTCCTCGATTACCAGCAGTTCAACATCGACAAGCACAACAAGCAGCTCCAGTAGCAAGTTCACAAGTTCCACAACGGCATCCACAACAACAAGTTCCAGCAGTACGTCCTCGACTACCAGCAGTTCAACACCGACAAGTGCAACAAGCAGCTCCAGTAGCACCTTAACAAGTTCGGCAACAACTTCCACAACGGCGAGTTCAACAAGTGTCTCATCGACATCATTGTCCTCAAGTAGCTCGACTTCGACATCCTCGACCACATTGACCACAACCTCCACATCGAAGTCCGCAACATCAACAACTACCAGGTCATCCACAACCACAGCAAGCGGCACATATACCAGAACATCTACAACTTCAGTATCAGTCACGCGGAGCTCAACATTGACCAGCACTGCAACAAAAACATCCACATCAACTACGATCCGAACTTTCAGTTCTACATCAACTAGCTTCGTGACTGTCAGCTCAACATCGACTGCAAGCATGACAGCCACGTCATCCTCAACAACGACAAGCGCAACTGCAACGACCAGCACGTCCACATCGACAACATCCTCGCAAAGTGTGACCAGCAGTTCAACCGCAACTGCAAGTACCAGAACGTCTACGACTTCAATATCAGTCACAAGGAGCTCAACATTGACCAGCACTGCAACACAAACATCAACATCAACTACGACCCAAACTTTCAGTTCTACATCAACTAGCTTCGTGACTGTCAGCTCAACATCGACTGCAAGCATGACAGCCACGTCATCCTCAACAACGACAAGCACAAGTGCAACGACCAGCTCGTCGACATCCACAACATCCTCGCAAAGCATGACCAGCAGTTCAACTGCAACTGCGAGCACAAGGACTACGACAAGATCAGCGACGACTAGCACTACTGTGACACCAACAACTTCTACATCTATCTCAAGTTTGACCAGGACAATAACCTTGACAACTTCCAGCTCTACTGCAACTAGCGCAACATTCACCGGCACGACCACAAGCCTGACTGGCAGTTCAACTTCAACTGATAGCAAGAGCAGCACGACAACTTTGACAACTTCAAGCTCAACAACAACAAGTGTCACAGCAAGCACAAGCAAGACGAGCACAACTACCGCCTCAACAACCAGCTCCACTACAAGCGCAACAACCTTAACGATTTCCAGCTCGACAGCAACTAGCGCCACATTCACCCGCACAAGTACGACAACCCAAACTGTTTCGAGTTCAACTGCAACATTTGTCACATCCACCACAAGCAAGACAACAACAAATACTGGAACAAGCACTAGCTCCTCTACAATCAGCACAACCTCCACTTCAAGCGAGACCAGCACAGTATCCTCAACGACTCCTAGCTCCACTTCAACGACCTCTATATCCACCACAAGTTTGACCAGCACAACGACTGTGACAACTTCCAGCTCTACTGCAACTAGTGCAACATTCACCGGCACGACTACAAGCCTGACTGCCAGTTCAACTTCAACTCATAGCAAGAGCAGCACGACAACTTGGACGACTTCAAGCTCAACTGCAACAAGTGCAACAATCAGCACGAGCAAGACAAGCGAGACTACCACCTCAACCACTAGCTCCTTTACACTCAGCGCCACCTCTACCACAAGCAAGACCAGCACAATCACCTTAACAGCTTCGACCTTAACTGCAACAACCTCAACCTCCACTAGCTCTAGCACATCCAGCTCCTCATCGACCACTAGCCTCACCAGCAGCAGCAGCAGTTCCACCACAACGCTCTTTGTTGGCAAAGCTTATTTGTCGTGTTGGCTGTCAAAGGTAGGGAAATATCACGACTCAGGATCCATCGACAATTCTCATTATTGATTGTCTTTGAATTGTTCCTTCTCTCCCAGCCTTGGGTGGTATGCTTGCTGCTTTGAAATGCTGCATAGTTGTAGTTGCAAAAAATGTCCAGACAACTGCAACACGTGTGTGATGCCAATTGCGCGGCTTCATTCTGAAGACCCTAGTCAGGTGGAGTCATGACTAGCACAACCAGGAGGCATAATTCTTCCACACAGACCCCAACCCGCTACTGCAACATGGAACTGGACAAAGGAATACTAATGACATCAAATGACCATTCTCCTTTACCAACGGAGGGTTGTCCTTTTGATCGCGAGTCGGAAAATGTTGGAAAGCAGTGTTTCCGGATCATTCGATGCATTCAGGAGCTCCACATCCACTATGGAACGAGCTTGGTGTCGAAAGCTCTATGGTGGCGCATCTCGCAGCTGCATGAACGGTCAATCAGGGATATGTGGACGTGTTTTCGTTCCCCGCTTTTTGGTGCATCAACCGCTGCAAAAAAGTTTCAATACTCAAAATCAGAGCCTTCTCAGCCAACACGAGAACAGTTATTTTTTTTCGTCGCCTTTTGTTTGGCACGCAGCTGGTTCTCGTGGTGTGGGTGAAGTGCCTGAAGTTTGGTGCGGGATGCTATGGGTTTACCTGCACGCAAATGTTCTGAGGGCGTGGAGGCTCTTGTCGTGGGATAGTTCACATGGGGTTGCGCAGCCCTTTTGACCATTGCCCCAGGTATGTGTAGCATCGGAGGCTTGTGAAGCTGAGAACCTGGAACATGATCAGTGTCACTTGGCGGGGGTGTCTCAGTAGGTGGCAAGATGGCCGGACTGGGAAGGAACGTCGGTCTTGCCCGGTCACGTCGGCCCGGCGTCGTTGAGGCTTCATCCCCGTGCCGGACAGCAACAACACGTGCGGCACCAGGGTTTGCCCCAGCAGCTCCTTGAGCTCTGGTGGCAGCTGCCGAAGCTGTGCCACCTTGGTGTTGGAAGCTGCTTGGTCTCAGACACAGGTGTCGGGTAATTTGTGCGAAGCTGCCTTAATTGAAGTTGGGTGTGGAAAGATCGATCGCGGGTTGAAGTCCTTGAACATTTGAAAACAAGGATCAGAGAATATCCGGAATATCTTTTCCAAAAACATGCTCGACTAAAGAAGGAACAAGGAACATCAAAGTTGATTAGTTGATTTCAGGGCTTTGATTGTCCGGATTGAACGGTGACACGTGACATGTTGCGAAACTGGATAAATATAGTTATAGAATCCATTGGGTTGGAGGCCATCGCGGGTAGGTTGGAGGCCAGCGCTGATTCGCTAGTAGGTTGGAGGGCATCGCTAGTAGGTTGGAGGCCATCGCTGGTAGGTTGGAGGGCATCGCTAGTAGGTTGGAGGCCATCGCTGGTAGGTTGGAGGCCCCTAAAAGAAAGAAGCGCCAGAGCAAGTGAGTGGTCGATGGCCAGCCAATCAATCGACAGCTGTGGGTGTGCACGCAAGATGTGGTAATTAACCTACGCAGTCATAACCTTCAACCTTTTTGGAGGAGTGGTTTTCCCATGTTTTCCCACTGTCGATAGTGAAGCCAACTGCGAACAGTGGCAAGGGAGATAGAACAGGGGGAAAAAAAGGGTTGCTATATAATGCTATATATATTAAACTATATATATATAACTTCTATTTACCGGGGAAACTGGGAGAGTCTGGGAAAATTGAACAGCATGGTTTTAAGGATTTTAAGGCGCTTGACATTTAGGTACCGCATGGTACCACTCGCCTGTGATCCACACAGTTTGCTTGAAACCCATGATTGCTTCCAAGGATTGGAATCAAGATGTGGTTCTGTCTGGAGAACTTCGATGGGCTGCCTTTGGGGAGACAGAAGATCAGGAGAACCTGCTGGAAGGATACCATGTCTTTGCCATTGCTACTCGTCGTGACCCTAACAATCCGATCGTACATCAGTTACTCACATACTTGGCCACTTGGCCGTATATTTATATACTTGTTTGGTGAGACATGTTGCTATTCTTATAAAGAATGTAAATGGCACGTCGTTGACCGGGAAGGGTGCATCGGAACAGCCTGGGCGCACCGGCAGGCATGAACATGCGTCGTCCATGCGTTGAAAATCAAGCCGTGTGAAATTGAGTGAACATACGCAATACGATACGACAAGTGCGACGTGTAATAACTGGTTTTGTTGAGGAACAAGCGGCATTTCTGGAACAAAGCCACGTTGAATTAAGGGGTGTGACCCAGCAAGTCCGACAATCGTCCGAGCGCTTTGAGAGGTGGATTCGATCTACCGTTTTTAATACCAATCTTGCTGGTACCCAAAGTGTTTCGCAGCCATTCGCAGCCAGGGCTTGTTTGGATTCATATGGGTCATTTGTGGCCATACGTTTTCAATGCATCACCTCCAAGAGCGGATCCGAAGAAAGGGTTGGAGACAGTTCACGGCTTTACATCGACTTCTACGTGACTTTTTTTGGTGGTTTGTCCGTGGGGCGTTGACGTCTATGACGTTTATAGCTATGACGTAGGGCAAAGCCGTTGGATGGTGGCCGATTCATCGGGCAAGAGCTGATGATGGCCGCGAAGCCAGTTCTAAGGATGACTGCGGACAAGAGCTGATGTTGCTGGACAGCGTCCCAGTTCAATCTGGCAAGACCAGTCTGCTGGATTGCTGCTCCCTGGGCTGGTACTACTCCAGCATCGAGCACCATGTGCCTCGGGACTCTTGGCTTCACACCACATTGTGGCTCGGAACATTCTGTCCTAGCCGCCTAGCCTGTTGACTCAGTGCGACAGGAGTTCACCTTGAATGATGAGACATATGACATACACACGTACCATAATTACAAAACGCATGCTGCGATAGGGTGCTTCATGTGCCAACTGTTGTAGGGTACCTGTTGATCAAGACATAGGAGGCACTTGGTCAATAGTGTTGCGACGCTGCTCAACAATCACTAATCACAACCTTAGGGCTTTGCAGATCATTCCTTGGGGCCAAGAAGTCCCCTCACAGCGTTTGGCCATAGGGATAGATGGAAAGCACGGAAGAAGGGTTCCTTTGTTCGGGATATGTCAGGTTCCATAAAGCGCAGGCTGGGTCCTTTTGGTTTGAAAGATGCACGTATTGTAAGGAGACAGCTGGCCTTATGATCTCATCATGGCAGGCCTGGCCGTGTCAGAATCGACGTTGTGTTCCCCCAGGTCTTCCCTCCCCGCGAAATCCTGCGAAGCTGTTTCCTCATCAGTGCTTCTATGGGAACATTGAATGAGCATTGATGAGCATTGTCACTGTTTCAGTTCAGATCAGCTTTCAAGTGTTGTTGCTCGTTTTGTTCTTTTCTGAACCGAAGCTTGCAAGGAGGATATGGGCACTGTGCTTCCGTTTCTTGAAGGCTTGGGATCATACGACTCGTAGTCGTAGATGACATTCGGAGCAATACGAAGCCATCCACTACTCTGGTTTGCTTTGAAGCTAATTTAATAAAGGGCGAGGAGGAGAAGCAACGTGTGCGGGCAAGTGCTGCAGACATGTCCTTGGAGTATTGCTCTCATAAATCCGTTGGATCTTGCACATTAGGTCAGACGGTCAGAACTTCTTTCGTCTCACACTGTCTTCAGACTGGCTCCATTCCCAAACTCATTGAAGACATTGATAGACAGTGAGTGCCAGTCTTCTTCTGGATGTCGACGGCCCAGACGCTCCTTCAACCACAACATCCACAACACTATCCGTGACATCTTCATCTACCGGATCTTCCACATCCATGACAGCTTCCACCTTATCTGCCACATCTACAACCACGCCCACGACCACCAGCACCATGCTGCAGGCCAGGTCCCAAAGCTTCATGGGGCAAGGGGCATGGTGTGTTTGAGCAGCGCTTGACGCATGTTGTTTTCTTCCACATGTGAGTGCGGCTGTTCATTCTGAGAGTTGGGAGTTGGGAATCCATAGAGCATAGAGCTGCCACTAAGACTTATTCAACAGAGAGTCCTGTTCGGTTTCTTGATCCACATGCATCTTCTTCGAACCAGGGACAGATCTTGAAATATCGCAGCATTTTGGCCCAGTGCTTCAGATTCAGCTGCAGCATTTTGCCCCTTTCAGATCAACCCCAATAACTTTGGTTTCTTGCCAGGCACTTGAAGCACAAGGATGTCGGGATTCCCAGAGCAATGTGCAACTTGGTCGGTGGCTTTATTTAATGCCCATGCGTACCTGTGTATATATATATATACATATATCTATCATCAATATAAAATGTAGATCTATTTATTATGTAACTATATGATACTATATGATATTCATGTATATCATATAGTTGTATGCATAGGTCCAATATAGACAAGCACAACTGTGCTGGTTTTATGTTCGCACAAAAAGGCTATTTTTTGGCTGATGATATGAAGCCATGCCTCTTGAAAGTCGAGACACACAACTCCCAACGGCTAACCAATGAGACATCTTCAAACAAAGAGATGGATGCTCAATCGAATCATGCCAGGATCTGGACTCAGTGCTTCCATGAGGTTTGCATTTAATAACACGACGGCATGTGACAGGCGCCTTCCAATTTAACAAATCAAGTAGGATATCAAGAGGATTCACAAGGCACAAGGAGTTGAACAAAAACATCGAGCAAAAGGAACCAATCAGATTGACATAGACATTGAGATGCTGCAAAGAATTAACATGGAATCAATGGGAATCTAACTCAAAAGCTGTAAAGGAATCAACATATATTTATATACAGGACATTGAAATTCCAAAAGGACACCAAAATCAAAAAGAAGTCAAAAGGAACCATATCAAATGATTTAGAATGACGTTGCATGTCCAAACGGAAAACAAAACAAAATAATGTCACATAGAAATTTAAAGGGAAAGCGTCAGGATCAATAGGAAAACCATTCGGGTACCTCATATATTTCAGACACTCTTGGATTTTGACCGGTGGGTGGGGGGGTAGGAGAGGTGGACATTCAACATTGCCGCAGGATAGTGCGGGTAGATATATGCCTCTTTGTTGAAGCCCTTTGCTAGGACAATGTCCAAAGCAAATCTTTAAGCTGACAGACCTTTACTAAAAAGCTTCATTGACGGTGCCTACAAGACACACAGTGCTCATTCAATACATGAAGTGGAGGTATAGCTTTGTGTTTCAACGCAAAACTCCGAGGCCCACGCAAGATATCAAATGTAAGACACAGCAAGTATAATAAGTATAGGTATAGGGACTTTGCTCTTGGGGGTCTCAGCCTGTCGGCGCATCAATCCACACTAGCTCCAGAAAGAAGAAGGCCAGACACACACACAGAGAAGATAAATTGAAAGAATCACAGGATGGTGACCGACTTTCCATTCTGTGAAATCAGGAAACCGACAAGCAAAGTTGAGTCCAGCAGGTCTGCCATCCCTTGGGTCCAGCAGGTCTGCACTGAGCAAGACAAACGGCCAGAGACTTGAACACGTTCGAACTGACCAGCGCATGTTGGACGAGCACCAGGTACCAGCAGGGGGCCTGGAGCCGAGGCATTTTTTAGAATATTAGGAGCTGTAGGGAGTGGTGCTTATGCCATAGTGCTAAAAGCTACAACAAGTGTACATTCTCCCAGAGGTGAGGCGCTGATTCCTCTCAAGGAAACCAGGAAATTCCCGCAAAGTTGCCTCCTCACTTGCGTTTCCATTGATATAGATTTGGCAGGCCTGGGCCTATCCACTGACAATGCGGAGCTTTTCATTGAGAACCCTGAGGCTGCCAAGGAGGTGGCACAGAAGGCAGCTGAAACCACTCCTGAAACGTGTCGGGTGTCTCAACGACTTTGGGAACTGTATGGTCCAAAGAACGCACCTGATAAAAGACTGATTGTTCAGATACTGTAAGTCAGATGACGCTTGGGGCAGGACCATTCCGGGATATTCTAGCTTGTTGACGCCATTGTCAGATCCAAGGCCTTGGGCCTTAAGTCAAAGATGAGCAATCACAGAATCGGAGCGACACTCTAATTGAATCGCTTTGAAGCTTTTTCGTTTCACACTGGTGGCATTTGGTGGCACTTAAGACCATTGAGGCACAATAGGGTCATGTGCCGATGCCCGGATGAGGTCTCTAAAACTACTTCTTGCTAGCTGCTTGCTGGACTTGTTTTTGTCTCAGGATGGCACACATGTGTCCAAGTTCGTTCGTGGATGCTGGGGATAGTGTAATTTCAGACTTAGCCTGGTGGGAGCGTGCTCACATACACGCACTTGTAACGCCAAGGGTGCAACTTGGAAGCATCCCTGAAGCGGCGATCCCACACTCTAGTTATCACGCCTTTAGATTTAAAATAATCACACGTTCATCGTCACAGCAGAACAATTTCACTGCAAAGACCTACCACATCACAGCACTCACTTCACAGGTTAGTATCAGAGCACTGCATTCATATTGCCAGTCTACAAATCAACCGGTAGCAGTGTAAGTATGTGTAAGTGATACGAATCAAAGGAGTTCTTACCCACCAGGTCACCACGCATACCGCCGTACCAGAGTTGACGCACACTGAAACTCATGAATGGCCAGTCCACAGGATCCCGAGAGAGATACCCTTCCCTTCACCAGCCGACACATCATTCGTCGGACACATCATTCGATTTGCAGACACCCTCTCCATGCGTGCTGACACCTAAATCTATTTGTAATATATATATATACGTATGTATATTATATGTACACATGTTTGTATATATACATACGGAAATTCATACATCATACACACATATAATCAATATACCAGTTCGTCGCCTGCCACTCTGACCAACGTTGCGCCCATTCGCAAGCATCGACGCTCCCACTTCACCAGTGGTATCGCATTTCCACCCAAAGACCATCGGCAGGCCCTACCATTTGCATTTGTGGGTACCTCCACTCCCTTTTTGCTAGTGATGTAACCGAGTGATAAACACATCAAGGCATGAGAGGGGCCTGCCCCAGCAGTCCACACCATTTCTACTGTTATAGTATATACCTAGAACCTGATTGACCCCTGTTTTGGAGCCCAAACATCATGTTTTTCCTATCAACGCAGAGGTCAAATGGGTTCCAGGTATATATATATATATGTTTATATTTATATACTGTATACTGTATATGCCCGTATTTTGTATCTACTCCGGATGATTAAACCACCACTGACTGGTTCGAGACGACCACTGAGTAGCCACTCTTCTAGTAGCCCCCGGGTGCATCCACAGCTGCAGACCATTGCCGACACAACGGGGGAAGACCTATCCCACGTGGAGGTGAGCGGAGGGGTTGCGTTGACAGAGAGAGAGAGAGAGAGAGTCGCTTTTGTTTGTTGAATGCTACCACTTTTTATTTGGAGAAGGGGTCGGACTTGAGCCGAATCATGGTTTAAAAGACTTGCTGGCACGCCCTTTGAGATTGCTATGGAGCCTTGGTAGAGTTGAATCATTCGAGCGCTTTCTTCACAGCTGCCACTGTGCTTCGACTTGCGCTGCGTGTTGCTAAGCGTTGGAACGCGAAGCTTGCAGGTGACTGAGATGTTACTGGGTGGCTGTGATGGGACTGGCGCTCGGCGATTGCAGCAGGTGCAGCAGGTGTCGTTCAGTTTTGTCCCTGGTCTGGTCATGAGATGAAGGTGGAGCATGTGTTGCCAAGGGTAGGCAGCCAACTCAGCGGGATGGGACGGCCAACTCAGCGGGATGGGGCGGCCAACTCAGCGGGATGGGAGTTGGTATTTTTCTGCAGCCAACAAAGCGTGGATGTATGAAGGGCTGTAGGTGCTGTGGATGGCTCAAATTCCGCTTTTGGGATTTTGGTGGGACGTGGCTTAGGGATGCCATCAGCCACAGAAGCATCTATGCAATGTGCAAGGGTTTAGGGTTTAGGGTTTGACTTGTTGCTATGGTTTCTCAAGCTGGTGGTATTTCCACTTACTGTATTCTTGATGTCTTCTTGATATGTGTTACTGTTGATATGATTTGGTTATGCTTCCCCGGTGGGGCTTCGGGGAGACTGGGTGACTGTTTGGCACTCCTTCCCGGAGCCAAAGCACAACCGACATGCACAAAGAACACCGCATGTTCACACCAGATCATCTTTTCATAACCTCCAACCACCCCAACATCCTGACACTGACAAAACTACAAACAAACAAACACACAAACAAACAAACAAACAAACAAACACATGTTTTGGGGTGTCACTCTTGTTTTGGAAGCCATAACTTTGAACCTACTGACTGCAAAATCGGGCAGGGGCACTCTTCCCCTCCTCCACTCATGATTTTGGCCAAGGTCATCCGTATCCCAATCCAGCCAGCTGTGGCAGATTTGTCAAGTGCAAGACTCCAAGCAGCTGTCCAGAGCATGGAGCAGGCTTCAGTGGAACAGGCGCGGATGGATGATTCAATCATTTGCAGCGGTTTCTGTTCAATTTCAAAGTCAAACCAAGCAGGGCCACCCTGTTGAGGGCAGGCCATCGCTATTAGGTTGGAGGCCATCGCTAGTGGGTCCAGAGGCACCGTCTCAGACGTTCCACCTTCGTCCGAGCGGCGCTTTTGCTCGCAGAGGTGACCCAGATCTTCAACGAAAGACTTCAGGAGGACACGACCTTTCAGGGTCGAGTAACCGTGGACCTGGCATGGTTTTGACCATCTTTCGACCCGAATGCTGTTCCGAACGAATGGCTGCTTAGGCTTAGATTTATAACAAAGTATGTGACAATGTACGCGCCTGCGCACGCATGCACACAATACCTATGCCTAGAATATATTCCGAAAGCATGTTCTGCATCAGACGGCCTCCGCTCTCCGCCAGGCAGAGGTCACGTCCATGGTGGTAGATGCTTCATCCATACAGCCTTTGACCACTCAGGTGCGAGTACACTCCCTTTTCAAGCTTACATGGACACTGACAATGGAATCGAGGGGAATGTTTTCCTCTACCAAGCTGTGGTTGCTGACAAATCGACTGAACACCAGTGGTCCTTGTGTGTCTTCCCGGGGCGAACTGTTCAGTGATCAGAAGGGATCGAAGGTTCATTTGGTGGATGGATGATGTTATTATTCTTCATAGTTTGCAATTCTTAAAATGCGCTAAGCATTTGCACTGTGCAAGGTATCGTCCTTGTCCCAGCGTGTTGTAAAACTATGTCCAAATTATGCTGCACATCACTCTTGAATGAAACACACCAAGTGGTTAGTCTCACGTCCTGTCCATGCGCAGCAGGAAGTCATTCTGCCTCATTCGACGAGACAACCACTTATCAGCGAGGCCGGAAGCTTTGCTTCCAGCGCAGTGGATAGATGGAATGACACTCTGAAGAAAAGGCCCCAAAAAGGAAGCCGGAGTGACTGACTGAGGAATTCTTTAGAGCCTAGCAGCAAACGGAAGTTTTTTTTTTCGCCTGTTTGTATCGTTGTCGTTTGAAGTCTCGACCGCCTAGCCGGTCCATCCTTGAAAGCCGAAATCCTTCCGGGTGCCCTCTGCGTTTTGCGCGTTCTGCTGGATGTGTTGTCTTCCTTTGGAGGCGAACGGTGTAGGTTTGCACAGAAGGCTTTGCACAGATGTCGCAAATTCCACAAAGAATCGTGAGTGCAAGACGGATCATGTGGATTCAATCTTTTGAATGCGGTTTTAAAGGACCGTTTCTTTTGACATCTCAATCTCAATGCATGCGTGCTGCTTTTCAGGGCTGCATGCCCATGGCCCATGAGTGTATCGGTCAACGAACCAAATTTCTTCAGGATCCACCAAAAGAAGCTGCTTTTGATCGGATGACTGTCTTGGCGCTGATCCTGGCAGCCGTACTGGTGACCTTCTGTTGCGCCTGGTCAGCACGCTGCCGCGCGACAGCTGAGCGCCAGGACGTCGGAAAACAGACACGCCAGATCCACCAGGGCCAAGGCAGATGGCACTGCGCTTCTGAAGTCAAGTTGCATTGCTGCCCCTGGTTTTTCGGCCTAACAAAAACCCCTGTTTGGAGTGGGCGCAACTTTGACAAGTTAGGCATCTTAAGCGGATGAGCCGAACAACTCAACTGTTTTCTGCGGCCAACCGGTCAACCCACGTGCCTGCGGCCACGGATGAGATCAGTTGATGTTGACATGATAGAATCTCAAACAGCTCTTTGAGGCGTTTAACAACTGATTGTTTTTTCCAAAGCTACCGTTTCAAAATGTCCCAGGGATGGATAGAAGATACTCCACGATCACATGGAGGCTCGGGCTCTGGTGGCTCGTCCGGTGCTGGCTGAAAAACACCTCGACCGGCGAGTCCTCGTCCGGTGGGTTTTCCGGCGTGTTTCGCCTAGGTGCGATGGTGACCTACTCGCAAATCACCCGCAAGTTGGCAGCCCGGGCCTCGGTCGGAACCAGCCGCGCATGCCGGGGGCGGAAGGTCCAACGTTGCAAGAGTACCCTAACGGATGACGAGTCCGGTGCCATCCACATGTGGAGGGCAGCCACCGTACCAGCAGTGTTTCGAACCGTCCTCCAATACTTGTGACCTCGTTTTGGGGGTGATACCTTGATACCTTGTTCCAAGTATAGTTACCAAATTGCTCGGAAGATCTTGCGTTCGGGTGAAGATTCTTGTCATTGGATTCGGGTCTTGCGGGCTGTCGCTAGCTTCGATTGAATTTAGTATTGTTCCAGGCTATGGTTTAGTACTGTTTAGTATTCGGGTCTTGGTATTGTGGTCAAACCTGGTTCTTCCATGTTTTAAACGTCTACGGCTACGGTCTACGACTTACGATGAAAAACCCCGATGTTCCCCGACAACGTTCGTTGTGATTGCGATGTTGCGTCGCCTGAAGCATCAGTGCACCAAGCTATGAAGTCGAGAGCGCTGTCAGGCAGGTCCTAGGTGTCGCTTCTTCGTCGGTGATGTAATCGCACTGTTTCTGACCGTCAGTAGAACCACTGTCGTTGTTTGATGTGTTTTGCCGTGACGGTGAGAACATGGCCAACGATCATTCAACTTGCCTGGGGAGCCAACAGATCAACAGCGTAAGTATGCAGATGTTTGCAGGCTCCCCAGGCGTCGTGCGGTTTTCAGATGCGTGACTGCAAACGTGTTTGGTGTGCGAAATGTTCTGCCAACTTGCATAAAAAGACCCAAAGCCTTTCATTGAAAACCCGGTCGGTGTTCACAACTCGTATGAACTCCTTTGTTCTCGCCACAGATGACGACAATCCTCGTTGGAATGCCCCTTGCGGAATCCATACGCCTGCATGGTGGTCAATCCAATGGACATGACCTGAATTGTCGTGAACCTAAAGGTCCTGCAATTTAAGGCAAGAATGCCCGGCATAAGTTATGCTTCCATATGGTCACACCAAGGGGGTTGATTCTGCAAGGACCACTCCACCATATAAAAAATAAATGTATGCGCCTGCTTGAGTGGCCGACATCCAATAGGCGTTGTCAACACACAAATATGTGTATATAACTATATGCAAAATTATGTAGAAACAAATCACCACTTACACATCAATCAACGCACACCAACAATAAGAACGATGATGAACATTGTTTCTATGGTTTCCCTTTATTGGTAGATCTTGGTGTATATTTGTAAGCAGTGCATACAATACGCACTTTCATTATATGCATGTCAGGAAGCCTTATTGAGGCAAGAGCATTGCAGACTGCAGGTTACGCGCATGGATGATTGGGTGAAAGGAAAGATTTTCTCGGTGATCGTGACCAAGTCACGTTTTCTATCTTTATCAAGAAGTTTTTCAATGGGTTGTTAAGACACACATGGTAAATGGATGTCAATAGGATTATTGAATGTGCGCATAGAGTCTATGGGGTATATAATGTTATGTACGTACTAGAGTCCTTCAGCAAAAATGCACGGGGTTGCCCCAGGTTCAATATGCTGGAATGGCTCTATTTTGGAGTGATTTGGTCCCCTTAAAGAACGAGATGGTCTCGTTTCTACCCACGAGGCCTTCCACGTTCGGGACTTTCTCGCACGAGTTCCAGTGTCTCGGGTTCTCGAATGTTGCCAAGCGCTGGATGGGCTGAGGTGAGGAGAGCCAAGGCTCCTTGGCAGCATGGTGACGTCCAGTTGTTGAAAGAGCAACTTGAATTCAGCCAGCTTGGCGGGTGTCCTGCTCAGCTTTGGGAGATGCAACATTATATAAACACATTTGATTCTACAGGGGCCGTTGTTCCACTTCCATGATTGTTTCAGGGAGTGTAGCTTGATCATACGGGGCAATGGGTTACCGACCCTCAGCACCCCAGGAGATGGAACAGATGGAGGATTCCTTCAGCAGGCGATGGACACCGAGACCGGTACTTCCCAGAATGCGTCCGGTGACTTTTGGTATTGCCTAGCTTTAACTTTGGTGTAATCAGCTGGATTTGTTGATTGTATTCAACTTATACCAAGGGTAATATGAATGACGGGTTGGCTTTTGATGCCTCATATTTTCTCTAGGACGCACTTGGCCATCCCAAGAGGAAGACATGGACGCAGCAGGTGATCTTTTGCCATGTGCATGAATGACAGGATGATGGGCTTGCCGGATGATGAGCCACCTCAGCCAGATGTTCTTGAGAGGAGTTGGGCTTGAGCAAGTTGTTACCAAAGTAGCCATCCAGATTCAAAAGAACTCACATGTTAGAGCCATTTTCCATCCACAATGACCTGTTGAAGTTCTCAGCATGTGAACTTATGTGCTTTCGATGTTCTGAGACTCTTTTGCACGCATGTGCTAAGCTTGCACAGATATCACCTCAACCACCATCAGATCAGGCGTTTATTTTCGCACACTGTTTCAATACACGACAAGGCAACGTCGCTTAAATTTGATTGCGTCAGTATGCAGCCGTTGATGTGATAGCTGCAGATACCTGCGTGCATGGTCCTGATATGACAACTCATTTATGTTGCCGGAGCATGTCGGGACAGCAGGGGCAGCAACATTACAGCAGTTCAAGAGCCAAGCCATCATGTTGTTGCGATGTTTGATCTTGTTGTTTTTGACTGGCAGACCCCCCAAAAGTTAATGTCAGACTGGTATATGAGTAGCCTTTTGGATGTGTTAGACATCGAGAGCCACCAGTTCTTGACCGGATTTTTTCTCACTTGGCCAAAGCAAAGAAGCGCAGGATGCCTGAGTTGGAATGGGACAGCATGCCCGCGTGCCCAGCACCGACCAAGTTCCCAGTAGATGCAAGAGAGTGGCCTTTGTCATCGGGTGAAACAGTCCAATCGGACCAACATCACTGAGGATCGCCACAAAAGGAGATCGCCACGAAAGTTCACGTCAACGATGCCTGTTGCCTGTTGCTGTTGATCTCTCCGAAAGCTAAGCTGTTTCCTGTAAACTCCTGAAAGTCCGAAGGCACCCAAGAAGAGCCTCGAAGTCGCCAGCAATAATAACGTGTATATAACTGGCGTTTGGGAAATCGATCAAACCTAAACGACAAACCTTGCCCACAAAAACGTTGCAACACTCATGCAAAATCATGCAAACGCCGCCGCCCGCAAAGCAGGAAAAGTCATAGAGCTGCATTTTCCAGATGATGGAATCCAATTGAGGGAGATCCCTAGCTTTTCCTTATGCAAACAACTAAAACTATATACTAAAAAGTAAAGTGAAAACTGAAGACACCTCTCGGATTCGGAAAATCCAGGGTAGTTTAGACACACACACACACATACTGTATATATATATTATATATATGTGTGTTTGTTCATCATATTCTTTAAAAAAAAGATCTGTTGACCGGTAGGGGCTTCCGGGATTCGGCACAAATGACAAAAGTGATCAGGCCACCCTGTCGAGGGCGAAGTCAGATTCATTGATCCTGTGGAACTTTTTTTAATAAAATATTCAGGTAGGCTGTACACTGTAGACTGCTGAATGACCTACCAGTATGGCTGCTTTACATTGAAACGTCACTTCATATGGGGGCTTTGTTATTCAAACACTGGTTGGACAGTTTGGAGATCGAAGGGGGAATCCAAGCATGGGTCGTGCTGTTCACATGCCTTCTAAGGCCAAGTGTCCATGATGAGCACAATCCCATTGAGGCGGGGAGTTGCGGACGTGTTTGAGAAGGAAAAGTGCATTCAAATGAACAAAGCATGGGAGGTTTGAGCGTGCCTGGGTGGCGTGGAAGGTTTTTTTTGAAGGGAAGACGGTTTATTTTTTTCTTGGCCTTCACGGATATAGCAGGTGTTCATGCAACCCTCCCGAACACTAAACATGGGTGGAACACCGTTGAAAAAGTAATTAAGCCCTTGTCGTTCATTTTCCATCACGTTCCATCACCTTAGCCGGATATTAAAGACGCTCCGCGTCGACAGCCGCCCACACCGCGCACGAACAGCCGAAGTTGGTGAAATGGAAGTAGCCATCCAGGCGCCAGGTTAGGGACAAGTGCAGCCATGTAGGCGCCAGGTTGGCTGTCTTACGGCTGCGTTGGAGCCATCTTGGGGCCAACTTCGTCTACCTTGGGGCCCACAATGGTGATATAACTTCGGCCTTGCCAAAAGCCATCCAAAAATACACCTCCAAAACGCTCTCCCCAGTGGCCCTGCAGCCCAACCAAGAATCAACGCAGCAACCACCCCAACACACAAAAACTTCTCCAAAACGCTCTCCCCACAGTGGCCCTGCAGGCACGACGTAACGAAACATCATCCAAACATGTACCTCCAAAACGCTCTCCCCAGCGGCCCTGCAGCCCAACCATAGCTGCGACGTGCGAAAAAAAAGAGGCCCCCCTAGCAGAGCTACTTGCATAGGAGGCAGAACTCAAGAGCCCCAATAGCACGCCCTGCACCGACAAGCGGTGTGGGCGGATTTTTGTTAATCAACGCTGCACCTGTAGGAGGTTCAAAACGTCAACGTGTGCTCTCCATGAAGACCGCCGATGAGCCAGCATTGGAGTTACTACTTGTCCTCTTGCTGTTGTTGTTCTGCCCGGTGTCAGGGAACCCTAAGTGTCAGATAAAAAGAAGCTGGACATGAATCATGCTCATGCATGCAATTCAACCAAGACTGCATGAAGTAAGGTTTGCAATTATGATGCATTGCCAAGCTTGTGGAGGGTAGCCGAGGTTACATGACAGGGTGGGGAAAACCACGTGGTGACCGGGAAAATCCGTTCAACCACCGCATGGACCGGGTCGCCACGACGGTCCGTCCCAGGTGGCAACCACTCGGACCCGCCTCAGAGAGCTGCTTGGGAATGCATTCCCAGCACCCGGTACCACGCTACGCCCCCCTCGAACACCCACGGGTCAGTGGAAAACGAACCCAACCCCTTGGATGACAATATATCGATTCTGTGGTGCCATGTGCTGCAACAACATGCAGCAACCACGGAGTTCAGTTTGCATGAATGAATGTTAGTTATTTGGCAAGAGACTTGACACGCCCTGGACTGTGGGTGCAGGAGATTAGCACAACCAATTGCACAACATGTCGGCAGATGTAATTCACCAACCGTAATCACATAGAGTTGAATACCATGAGACTATGAGTCACATGAGTTATCTACATACATAAAGAAACGCATAGCGCTTGGCCTTTCAATCGTTCCAAGATATTTTATTGATGTTCGAAGGTGTCGGTGGAGTTTGTTACTACAAACATCGTTCCAGATGTGAGACGCTCCATGAAGCTGAGGAGAGCCGTGATAATGCATGAGCACCAGCCGATCGAGGCTGGAGTTGCTTGGAGAAGATGATTGCATGAGTCATCCACGTGGAGTGGAGTTTACATTTCTCCTTTGCATGAAAATAGTGTTTCCTTTTTCTTCAGTGCGTCTCTGTGAGACAGTCATGCCTGGGAGAGAAATAGAGAAAGAAATATCTTCCTTCCATCCTTTCTATTAAATAGAAAGGATGGAAGGAAGAAAGAAGGGCACCAAGAAAGAGTGGAGATTGCATGCATGCTCAATTTCAGACTGCAAGGAGCTTCATTAACCACAACCCCTCTCTACGGGTCTGTGTGCAGTGTGCACTGCTCCACTTCTCCGCTTCGTGGTTTGCGTCAGAAACAGGTGGAATGCCACGAGACTGACTTGCCAGATGTTCTTGAACTCTTTCATTTTCATGACTACTGCACTAGGAACAAGAATCCACCAGGGGCTCCCAGCATCGCTACTAGGAGCAAGGACGCTACGAACGGGGCTCCTGGCCTTGCTACTAGGAACAAGAGGATGCTACGAATTAACGACCCAACAGTGTCCGTCAACCTTTTTCCATTCTGGAAGTGTTTGGACGTGGGTCTCCCACGTCCAGTTGCTACTCAGTCTACTCATTCGATCTGTTCGTTGCCGCATGGCTCACAACCTTGTGCCTCCGACAAAAGATACGAAGCATGACGAACAATTATGAAGACATGAATCATGATGAAACATGTATGAATATTATGAATGAGAGAGAGAGGGAGAGAGAGAGAGAGAGAGCATTTGGATTTTATATAGATGTCTTAGACAGACCCGGCTTGAACCAACTTTGCCTTCTTTCCTCCCTGTATCGACACGACATCACCGCACGACATCGCCAGGTCGCGCAGCTGCAGGAGATCACTGAGCGGCTGGGCCGGTGTGGTTACATTTTTTGGGGGTGCCTATACCGAGCACATGAGTCATGTGATGATGTTGTTGATGATGATGATGATGATTGCTTATGTTTGATCCATGCGATATGCTTGCGACAAGAATGGAAGGGGCACAACATGTCAATCGTTTAACCTTCCGACGATGTCTTTCCCGCATCCGTGCGGCCGCTGAGCGCTGAGCTTCGATGAACCGATTGGGGATGGGATGAATGGGCATCATGAACCCCTCCGCTGAGCCGATCATTTGGCCAAAAACAGACAGATCGGTGGACACCGACGCGGTGTCGCGAACGTGAAGAAAGGTGCCGAGTGGTGAGCCAAGTGGCTCACTGCCCGGCCCTCTTGACAAATGTAGGCTTTCATCGAACAGCATCGGAAGTTGTTGCCAACTGTTTGAGGATGCTCCCGCTCTTGTGGGGATGTGGGTGCCAATCCGGGCAGGGCAATGCCAAGGCAGCTGGTTGAAGGATGCCCACAGTCAACGTTGGAGTCGCCCACTCAGCATTTTCGACACTTTGGATCACCTTGGTGTGCATCAATGATTAGAAGTCATGATGCATCGTAGGGAACGAAGAACGGTAGGGAGACGGAAAAACGAAGACCGACATGTCCAACGGTCGAGATTTCTCGGCACCATCACGGCACGACTCAATCACTCGAGACGGGGTGAGAGGCAAAACACACACGGAGGCTGTCACGGAGGTCCATTTTTTGAGATCCTGTTGCTGTGTTGTTGTGTTGCTTATGAAGTCTTATGACCCTGTCGTATACTTGGCCGTTGACTGGAGGTATTTGATGGTATTTGGAGTCCACCTGGGCTTAAACATGTTCAACGCAATAAGCGCTTTGCACGTTTCAAATGTTCGACTGTTCACCGGTCTTCGGTTGGTGTTTCTGTCCGGACATTGGACACAAGATGACCTCTGCGTCCCAAGGCCGACCGAGGATGTGGACCTTTATGCTCAACTCGATGAGGAGAGCTGGGCATTGGACCGTCGTTGCAGTGGATTTCATATGATTTCATGTCTATTTCCATTTATCCGGACCACCTTCAATCTTTGGCTTAGTGAGATTTGGCTGCGAACTAGGGTCAGAACTTCTTGAGTTCCATAAGTGTTTTGAATATGGCCGATGTCCGGCATGGTCAAAAACCGCAATGTTTCAGACGTAGAATAAGGATGAATAAGGCCAATGCTTCTCCTGAACGCCTGGATTTCATAGACAGGCATAGGATGGGATATAGGCGTGTCCAAGAGTGCAGGTACCTCATGGTGCCTTGAGTCAGTCCTGGGCGACCCCCCCCAGGATTTTTTGTCTTTCTCGGTATGCAGAATCTTGCCGTGAGTGTTGGGACCAGGAGCATGATGTGACGCTGACTTTGGCCGCGCAGGTGTTGAGAGATCATTTGTAGAGAGGAACGTTTTGTGAGAGACGTGTCATGTCTAAAGTGCCGTGACGGGGCTTATTGAAGATGTTATAGACTAGAATCTCAATGAGGCGGCGTGCTCTACAATCAGCAGAACACAGCAGAATATGTTGATACCCCAAGAGGTGTTTAGTGTTTGAAAAGAGCTCACCCAAACGCCGGCATGTTTGTTCCGACTCACCTGGGCAGGCCGACTTCATGATGTTCGGAGTCTCAGGGACAACGGCCACGAGAGCAAACATAGTATACCTCAAACAATCATGGAAGCTGAGCGGACGGACAATTGTCTTCCAGGGGTCTATGTTCCACTTCCATGATTGTTTCAGGGAGTGTATTATATAGATGTTTTCCGGAAATGGCTTCTTTAAAAAAGCACAACACATGTGCTGCCTTCGTTGCGATGACCGAAGGCACAATGAGGCAGCACAAGATTGGCTACTGTAAGGGCTGGTTGTAAATACCTGGGCGCAAGCATTGAGATCGAAGCCAGGTGCAGGTGGTGGCATAGATTCCCCTGCCCTTCTAGAAGGGCCTCGGAAATGGGTTCCTTCTCTCAGAGGAACTGGGCAGTTGGTGTCCTTCTTCCGCTCCACAGATCCGTCGGTGGTCTTCGACACGCGCAGACTCCGCTCCGCAGGCCCGAGGTGATGGATGAGCACACACCGCAGACACGGAAGGCAAGTTCATGCAAGTTCAGTTTGGTCCAGCCTATAGATAGTCCAGATGCCTATAGCAGTGCCTATAGTTATTATAGCTTTCTTTTTTTTTGTATTGGTCCCCTATATATTTGTGTCCTAGTTGACGAATGGCCTATTTTCGCGTTGCACCGTTCCGCAGAACTGCCAATCTGGTCCGCAGGCGGGTGGATGCCTTTGGGAGCCACTCCCCAGGCGGCTGCGGGGCACACCCATTTCCATTTCCCCCGCAACACCCGCTCTTTACTAGGAAAAATTGCCAGAGCTATCCAGACCTGCTGTTCCGAAAGACATGGAGGTTCATGAAAGGCAACTGTGCCGTGAATCATGATAGATCTGCAAGTGCCCTTTAAATTCATTTGTGTTCAAAGTTGAATGCTGCATGTACGCAGTTTCTTTGCTATCTTTCATGTTGTTGGTGCATTTAACTCCTACCGCACGCGCTTGTAAGGGCAACGGATGCGTAGGAAGCGACCATTGTGCGCGAGAGTGAGTCCCAAACCCTGGTAGGTTGACGTCCCTCATAGTCTATTCTGTATATTTTGGGTGGTCAAGCAGGGTCCCCCTGTTTTGACCCACTCTGTAGCGGAAGAAAGTCAGCTAGTCGTCCAGACCCTCCTGACGCGGGCCATGTTCCTGTGGGGTGCATGTGTTTTGAACACGAGTTCATCATTAGGTGAATGAATCACTGATTGCTGCCGAATGTGTCGTTTTGGCATACGACACATGTTGCCTAGGCCTAGGGCCATCTAGGGCCTAGGGCAAGAGTAGCAGGACCTCAGGAGTGTTCCTCCAGGACTCCTCGTCCGCCCAAACGTCGATAGACTGGAAACCCACCAGCGAAGCATGGATTCCGACGCGGACAGTCTGAATGAAACGCAGACATTGAACGGGATGGCGTTGATTTGAAGCAACACATGGACTTGAAGCCTACTTGCAGGAGTCAAGGAGGTAAACCAGAATCATTTGAAACCTACAAGCTCGAATAGCCTTCTATAAAGGCACCATCCCACAACAGCCCATTTTCATGAGTTCACCCATTTCAGAAGATCAGAAGAGTCGAGGCATTTCACCTCGTTTTCTTGTTCCCCCCCGTTGCGACCCCTTGTCTTCCCAATCACTTCCTCTCGTGCACATTTCGCGAGCTAAGCAGGGTGTGTCTTCGCCCCAGGGGTATGGAGGTCCAGTTCGGAACCCCTCCCTCTTGGGAGCCCGAGCTCGGGAACCCGAGCTCCCGCTCAGTCGCACCACTTTTCAGTCTCAGGAGTTCCGGGCCACTGGGACTGGCGCCGTCCTGTGCAAGCTGCGGTACGACGGCCCGTGGCAACGCGCCGTGACCCGGTCCTCAGTATAAATACCTGGTGTGTTCAACTTCACATGTAGGCCATGTAGGTCCATGTACAGTAGATTTGTCTTCACATCCTCATTTTCTAGTTCATAGTAGCGTCCTTGCTCCTAGTAGTACGGCCAGCAGCTGCTAGTAGCGTCCTTGTTCCTAGTAGTGACCTAGAAACTGCTGCAATTTTTCTGTTTTCTGGAGCATGAAGAACAGACCGATCAACTAAAGTGACCATAGCTTAAGAGCTGGCACGACGTGCCATGCCCTGGTCGCAGCTTCCTGGTCGCTGTTCTTTGTGCCGTCCACCTGCGGGTGCTGCTGGCGTCCACCTGCGGGTGCGGACCCCCCCTTTGGAGATGGTGAAGCCATGCGCAACCTGCCCAGGTGATGCATCAACCCGATGGAGTCCGAAGGAGGATTTACAGTTATTGGAAGGCTGGGATCTTGCTTGGTTTCACTTTGCCTCAAGGCTAGTTTTGTCTCAGCGGCTGGAAGTCCTCAGGTCGGGGATCTTGATTACATCATCATATATCCGTGCAGCCGGTGCTCTAAGTATAACCGGTGCTTCCACCGGAACTGGAATCATGAAAGAACCCATGGAACCATGTCGAAGGCCGCGAAAGTCCTGTGAACCAGATAGAATGGGTCCTGAACATTGGAAGGTGAAATGCATCCTTTGAAATTCTGCCAGTCAGTGTAACCTGTCCTTTGGACCTAATGGGTTTGGTCCTAACCGGCTTGTCCTCATTCATGTCACGAATATCACTTGCTTGGAGCTTGTTTGCTTTGGCACTCTAGTTGCCTTGAGCCCCGCTCTTTGGCTGTAGCTTAATGGTTTGGGACACTCGGGATGACCAAACATATTCCAGGCTTCATGTAGGTGCTGCAGGTCTTCATAAAACATACCAAATGCTGCCCGCACATTCAGATTCAACCTGTCCAGGCTACAGGTTGGCGATGCCGGCTGCAAAGCAAGCCAAGCATCCCTGAGCCGCTGTTGAACCTGGCCGCCCTGATTATACAATTTTTCTTTGCATTTTCCACCAGATAGAACTCCAGCCTTCGACTTCTTTGATGTCTATCGATGACCTGAGCACAAAATAGCCAACAGAGGCTCACTTTGAATGATGCGAATCAATTTACGGTGCTATTAGATCCTTACACAAGCACATTGTTGGAGACTAGTGAACAATGTATTGGAACATGTCGAGACATGATATGAAACTGTTGAAATTATAGTGTATATATATATATATGTTTATTTAAGTCATATATATATATATATTCGGCACCAGTGAAATGCCAACCCAGTTTATATATATATATAGTTTGTATCAAGCCGGCCTTTTCGATCGTATGGAGTTGAGCCGTTGAAGGAGCGCCAACTGGTTGCAGCATTGTGTAACTCGGTGAGTGCTTGCACGCAGTCTTTACGACAACGTTAAACCATTCATGATCGGATATGGATGGATATGGTCATTTTGACATGGTCAGAGGGCAGACAGAGCTACACGCAGAGCTGAGACGACGAAGGCGGGCCACGACACGCCCATTAGCAGTCCACGACAGTGCGTCACTGCTGCACGGATCGGTCATGGTTGCACACCTCGCTTCAAATCCTTCATCGATGTGTGAAGATTCGACCCGAGATCCTGGTGACCCTGGGGATATATAGAAACAATAGTGAAGCTAATATTTTTCAAATATACTGTTTGTAATCTTAATCAATTATTAATCTTTTGCGGTGGTGTGGACATGGGATATTATCTAGGTAATCCGAGCCATATTGAGCGCAGAAAGCTTGTTTCAAGGCTCAGTTACCACACCTCAAACAGACCATAATACGAATTCGTGAGGCAAATACATACAAATCCGTGAGGCAAATACGTACGAATCCGTGAGGCCATTTGCACAGTTGAAACGAATGTGACCTTCTGATGTACAAGTGCTCAGAAAATTAAGAATTGATGCAGCTTGGACATGAAAGCCCTGGGACATGTGCAAAAATCACCTAACAGAAGGGCCAAGTGACACCAAGTGACATTTGTTGGATGCATTTCTGAGATCCTGCTGATCTGCAGCTGGTGCATTGGTGGGCTTTGGGCGAGTGTCATAGCTCTCGTAGAACCTGATGAAATCCCCAAGAATTGGTGGCTTCGAACTCGAACAGCACGCCTTACACTTGGTAAGGCTGGCACCCGGAATCTTGAAGCCTCGAACAGCCGTCCCTTCCCAAATGGGAAGAGGCCGGCAGCGAAGAGGCCGGCTACATTGGCCGCTGGTCCTGGAGGACTTGTCCCCCACAAACTCGCAGCGGAAAAAGCGGACTCGGCGTGGGGAAAACTGGACATCACTCATCAGCCTTTGGGGGATACCATCTTTTCTTTCTCTCTCGCTCTCTCTCTCTCTCTCCCTACCCTAACAAGCAGGAAAGAGCTGCAAAAACAAGCTAACAAGCCCTAACAAGCTAGTCACCCCAAAATGAGACATTTTAAACCTACATGATCAAGGAAGGGGGACCTTCTGGGCCGACGACTTGCGCAGGCCTTAACGGCGCGACGTTTCAGCGTTCGCCGTTGCGAACGCTGAGGTGCAGATACGACAGGTCGCAATACCAGTACTGTTTTGAATTGTTTTGATATAAGGAGGTGGAACATGTTGATATAACGGGGATACTGTTTTGATATCAGGGGTACCATATATACTCCCCCTGTTTTGATATAAGGAGGCACATTTTAGGAGGAAAGTGGGACCTTGGACGACAACTTCAACTGATGATGGTCACGATCCTTCGCTTACCTAAGCGTCGCCACGAGACATGAACGCCCTTCTGTAGCAGAAGAGTGCAACATAACACGACACAACATTGTTCTTGGAAGGTTCGCCCCTTCAATCCAACAAAATTAACATCCAAGTAATAGTTGTATAAATATGAAATGAAGATTGGGTGTCTACTGAACTGCTCTTTGAGCAACTGGGGGTGCATTGTGGTGCTCAAAATCTGCCATTCCCACAGCAATTGATCGCTCAACCAGCTCCGAAAGCACCGTGGGTGCACTTCACGATGCCAGCCATGACCTCCTCTGCACCGATCTCAGCAGCACCTCCTCCAACTAGATCGACGCATGTGGCAGACTGAAATAGATATAGGCAGTATTAGGATGTATTAGGCAGTAACATGCGATTGGTCTCGTTGTTGTTGGACCTCGAGAGTCGCGAGTCGGCATTCATCGTGACGGAGCGGCCCGTCACGATGCGGTTGCGACGCATCGGCACCGGTGCGACGCCGTCCAAGGTTGACATGCGCTCTGCTTTGACGCCGGGGCACCCGTTGTGTGACGAAATGTTGAACCTTGACTGACTATTATTTTTCATTTTCTTTCACGGGTATACCCCCTTTACTGTATAAGAGTGTTTATATATATATATACATACCAGGGGCCCCACAGACCATCAAAAACCTTGCTTTCCCTAGCGCAAAACATGGTTTTTGTATGTGAAAACCCTCAATTTTTCCATGGTTTTGAGGGCCCCTGGTAGTGACTAGTGTAATCTTGCAGAAGCTCAAGTTTGAGCATCGTTACGATTTATGTTTGTTGTTGCTCTTAGATTTCCCCACTTTGGCAAGGCAATAGAGTCAAGCAGAACCAAGTGAAGACAAGAATTATGGCCAAAGGACATTGACATTGATTGCATGGATGGAGTTGGTGGGTTGGGTGGCACCACCGTTTTGCAAAATGGTCCGGTTTTCCGGCTTGTGTTTGTGGCCGCTCGGTATGCCAAAGAAGGATTGGGATCTGTTTGGCTGTCCTTGTAAGACAGAGATGCACAACAAAATCCCAACTACTAGTAGCTGCCCGTAGATGTATATGGAATCTTTTGTGGCAGTCAGCCTCATGACTGGTGCCTGCTGTTAGACATGACATGCTCAATGTTTGCCAGGTACGCTGTGGCCGCCATGCTCGTGGAATGTGACGTGCGACAACACCAGCAACAACAGCAGCAACAACAACAGCAGCAGCAACAACTGCAGCAGTCACTTGGCATCACATGTGCTGGTTTTCTTGGGTTCCTTGCTTCTTTTGGATGGCAGCGAGTGCTGAAACCGAGCTCAAGCAACAAACAAAGATCATTGCTTATGGAGTGCCTGGGGGCCTCATGGACCATGTCATGTATATGAATCCATGTGTCCATGTTTCAGCTGCTTTTGGCTCTGAACACAACAAAGGGAGACGTGTTTCTTGAGACTTTGCTTTCAAGATGAAGTTCTTGGTTTCCGCTGCCCTGGGCTTCTCCTTGGCGGCTGCTCGGCGCTCAGAGCTGCTGCCACGCGAGGAGGCGGAGAAGTTGGGTGTCATTTGGCGCGGGAATTCTTCCAAGCAGAGCTCCCATGAGCTTTTGGAGGCCACTGAGATGCCTTCAGATTTCACTTGGTGCAATAAGGATGGGAAGAACTACTGCACCATGTCCCGCAACCAGCACATCCCTCAGTACTGTGCCTTTCTCCTTGATGTGGCACCTTTTGAGTGTTTCCGTGCGAAGGTCGAAGCATTTATGGATGCACTCTCGGGGGTGTCCCATTGGGCTCTCGATAGACATCATCATCACGTATGCCACTAATTGCATATATGTTTGTATAACTGCCGTGTGGTCATATGTATAATATGGATCCATGTAGGGCAATTGGGTCATTGGGCCCGGGCAGTTGTGTAACATACATGCGCATGTGTGTGTATACAGTGCATACTCAGTGAATGCCTAAGGGAGGTAGAGAGGGAGCGACTGTTCTTCGACCGGTTGCCTTGATGCTTTCGGGGAGGTTCCATCAACACCACTATTATTTCATGGTTCAAAAAACTCAGCACGATCCCACAATAGTCCTCAAGTAGTGGCTTCCAACACTCACACTTCACACTGGGTTGAACAGAAGTGGATTGTACCCCGTTCTTTGGAACGATTATGAAGGATTCCGTTTGGTAAATTAATAAATAAACAATATATATATATATACACATAATAGCTTGGCATAGCTGTCAGGGTCGTGCTGCTAAGTGCTGCTATTCGCAAACTGGTTGGCAACACGAGTGCATGCACGTGTTGCCAGCCCAGCACTTGTTGAATTGTTCCAACTAAGTTGGGTCCAGTCCAACTTGCTGCGTTCCGTGCGTTGCGCGCGCGATCCTCAGGTGGCTCTTGCTGGGCTCATGGCGCCATCAGCGCCTTGGGCGATCGCATCAAGATTGCCCGCCAGGCGCAGGGTGTGGACATCAACTTGGCTGTGCAGCACTTGCTGAACTGCGGTGGTGTTGGCAGCTGCAAGGGTGGCACAGTGGATGGCCCATACCAGTGGTTGAAACAGATGTCTGAGAAGGGCACTGGCATTGCCTACGAGACTTCGAACCCCTATGTGGCTTGCTCCTCCGATTCCAGTGAAGGATTCTGCTCTCATGTGGATACCTCCTGCAAGGCTGTGAATGTGGCACGTACTTGTGGGAGTTTCTCCCAAGAAGGAGGTCCATGCACTGGACTTTCCGCTTTTCCCAATGCCACCATCTCCGACTATGGCTCCATCAGTGGAGCCGATGCCATGATGAAGGAGATCTTCAATCGTGGCCCCATCAGTTGCGGTGTGGATGCGAACCCACTCTTGAACTACGAGTCCGGTATCATCAAGACCAAGGGTGAAGGAGTGGATCATGTAGTCTCGGTGGTCGGTTGGGGCACCGACTCCAAGGATGGGATGTACTGGATTGTCCGCAACTCATGGGGTGAATACTGGGGTGAGATGGGCTACTTCCGGGTGCAGAAGGGTGCCTTGCTGCTGGAAGACCAGTGCTCCTGGGCGGTGCCAGGATCCTTCACCGCGGCAGAGAAGAACAACCAAGTGCACTGCCATGAAGGGGGTGACAACTGCAAGGCCAAGGCTGAGGCCCAAGTGGTGGTATAGGCATCTGAACCAAGACCTAAACTCTTGATGCTGGTCCCTTAAGCGGCCGTAACCTCTCATACCCGGCCCACCTCGCTTGGCAAAGCCTTTGGGTTAAGCTCTTTCAATGCAAGCCACCGAGGTTGGTCATAGG